CCAGCACCTCCCACCACTGACCCCTGATCTACACAGCCTCCCTGTCCACAGACACCAGCACCTCCCAACACACCCCTGATCTACACAGCCTCCCTGTCCACAGACACCAGGAACTCGCACCACTTGACCTATACATCCATACTGATCAGAGTGTACTGTACTACTGCGTGTGGTGCATTACCCTCATACCTCACTCTAACCCAGATATAGGAGTAGGGAGCAGCATGACATGGGGCTGGGGTCATCCCCGTGATGGGCTGGTGTCCTATTCCCCGGAGACGGAGGGAGTCTTCTACTTTCAGGTCCGGGAACCAGGACGAGCTGTGGATCGCCGAGCCAGCGTGTGGCTCGCCCTGCCCTAACCCGTGAAGGCGACTCACCTGTCGGAGCTCGGCTGCTTGGACTGGCGCCTCTTCTCCCGCCTGCTCGGCTCAAGCACCAGCTCCGTCTGCCGGCCCGGGTTGGCAAACTCCAGCGACTTCAGGGCCTTGGCTGTCCTCACCTGGAACGAGAGCCCAGCGGTAACGTCTCCAGTTCACGCACAGGAGACCGCGCGGGTGACCCTGCCGGACCCACGGGGGGAAACGCACCGAGATTCCCAAGCGATCTGAAACATCCTCAAACGGAAAAAAGCACCCCCAAGAAATCAGAACCGATGAAGAACACGAAACGCGCGTCGCCCTGCAGATACACAACACCAGGAACACGGAACTGGCGTTCTTCAGATCTCAGACAAAGCAAAACCGAGTCCAAACTGACGGTGGTGAGAAAAAGAGACGGACTTGGGTTGAAGACCGCTACGTTCCGGGCTTTTACAACGGCAAAAAAAAAAAAAAACACCCCGCGTCCGTTCGTCGTTTGCACTGTCAGCGCCAACCGCGTGCCCCTCTTACAAACCATTTACACATCAATGCAAATAAACGAATCGCTCGGAACAAGGAAGACAGAAGAAAAGCACCAGTGGAAAACATACTGGAAAAAAAACCACCTGACCTTTATTGGGCAGTCAAACTTTGCGAGCTCAGCGGGTCCTTCTAAGACAGAAAGTGTGGGGGGGGGGGGCTGGCGCCCCCTAGTGGAGGCCTGGAGAATGTGGGGCCGCCGCGTATACGTACTTCGCTGTCCAGCTTCTTCTTCTGCCGGGACTCGGGGTCCAGGTCGCTGAAGCCGTTGATGAGCTGGGCGCACCGGCAGCACAGCTTCCAGCCGGGGACGAACTGCCGGGCGAAGCGCTCGCTCAGGAAGGTGGCCTCGTCCAGGTCGATGGCCCGCAGCCCCTTCTTGATGGCCTTCTTGTGGCAGCTGAAGGGGTCGCAGCAGGCCCGCTGCAGGTCCTCGTAGCGGTCCACGTAGAGCTTCTCGTGGTGCAGGCAGACCGTGTCGCCGTCCGCCAGGCCCAGTAGGCCGCTGCGCAGCTGCAGCAGCAGGGCGGCGTCGGCCGGCAGCTCCCGCAGGTGCCGCAGGCCCGGCGGCCGCGCGAAGTACGTCTTGTGGCAGTCGTGCGGCGCCTTCAGCAGCTCTCCCACCGTGCAGGGCTGGAGCTCCATCGCGGGCCTGAGTCTCGACTAGGGCACTGACTTGGGTGGGAGCCTTTATTAATGAACGGGCATTGCTCTGAAATTACAACCTCCCGGGCAGCGTGACGATCCTATGCAGGTTCACCCTGGGGAAAGCATTAAAGTCAATGAGATTGATGCTTCGCAACGGGTCAACCTACGGCAGCCGGGCCTCTGCTAAGGGTGCGAAAGGGGCCTGGCCGTGCCCCCCTGTAGCCTATTAACTGCTTACAACCTGCGAAGACTCCCCAGAACACCGCCAAAAAAAGGCCTGCCTCCGGTCCCGACTTTCAGTGAAAAGCTACGACACGCTCACTGTAAAGACACTTCAACTCGGGAGCCTTTAAAAACCAAACCCTCCCCTGTGCTAAAGCGACCAAACCGACCTGCGTTTGCAAGGCGCGACCGGCGGGAAGGAAACGCTCTCAAAAACCCGACGAGATCAGGGGGAAAGGGAAAAGGCACAAGTGTCTGCCTCCTGATTAGCGCTCTCCGTGTCGCTGAAAGGTCTTCTTGCCCACGCAGGACCTCCTGACCTGACTGAGCCCAGGAAACCGGGGGCAGCCAGGTCTCTAAAAGGTAAAACCGCGAGGTGGAAGCAGAGGAGCCTGAAGATCTCTCAGGGGCGCACATCACACCGCCCGCGCACAGCGGGGTCGGGCAGCTCCTGAGCCAGCTCGCAGCAGCCGGTGCTGATTCACGCCCTCCTGATTCCCACACTGCCGCGCCCTACGGATTGGGGACCAGGGGGCGAGGCTCCCTGCTCCTACAGGAGGGAGTCCGCACGGCGGGAGGGTACCCCAAAGGGCTCACAGGACCCCCCAGAGACCTCTCTCGCAGGGGAAATAGACAGCACAAACAAACAAGCGGCGACGTTCAGTCCGTCTGACCTGCTCGGCAGCTGGCTTCAGCTCGTTCCACACTCCCACCACTCTTTCGGCAAAGAAGTGCCTCCTGTCCTCGGCCTTAGACGCACTTCCGGCCTCGTGACCACGCACCCCCCCCCGGTCTGTCCGTCGCCGTTAATTCGAGGTCCTCCCGCCCCCCCAACCCTAGCAGCACTAGGCGTTGCCGCCTGCACCCCCCACCCTTCAGAGCACGCCGCCTGATCCGCAGGGCTCGGCCCCACGAGAGTGAACGAGCCCCGGTATCAGTTACACGCTCCGCACTCGTGAAGCGCAAAGCAAGACAGAGTCTCGGGAAGCACCAGCACAAGAAAAGAAGAATGGAGGTAGCCTGTCCTGCGCTTTCTAAACCGTCAAGACACAAAGCGCTCCGACAGCTGGACTTTACTTACGAGACCGGCTGAGATTGCAACTCCTGGGAACAACCGACACCTGCAGAGGCTGCCACACCTGCAGTCACGGGCAAGACTTTGCGTTCCGGTGGCCGGGACCGAAAGCACCGGTGAACTGGTGGCCTCCTGTCTAACAGCACAGCTCCTCTGGGACAAACTCTCCCGAGCCACTTCCGAAAATTCCGTAAAGAACCATCTTCTTCCCGGTTCCAGCGTGCGGCTCCGTGCTCAATCTGGTTGGAGAGGCGCAAGTCCTCCCAATAACACAGCGGCGCGGGCTGTCACTCCAGGGTCACCACTATGAGCGTTATCCCAGGTGCAGACGGCACTTTCGTTTCCTCCCTAAGATAATCGGCCAGTTTACCCCTCGCAACAGAGCCCAGCGCTAGAGACAGCAGACCTCTCCTCCCGAGG